TTTTATTCTTGGATCGGGCTTTAAAGGGTTAAGTGTATTACCCTTAATTTGAGTAGGTAAATAAGATGATTTGCCAATGGAATTAGTTGTTTTATTAAAAAAAAAAGATAATTAGACAACATGCACTTGAAATGTTTTTTTTTTTTTATTTTAAGTGTTAATTGCCTTGTTCAATAGGCAGTCAACTATCTCATTCACCTCTTCAATTTAAAGAAAAAATGCACTTATTTTAAGAAAAAAATGACATATTTAGATTTCAGTTTTTGCAGTGAAAATATCTCTGTATCATTAAAGAGTCAAAACTCGCTTTTAAACCTCAGATTAAATACAGTGCAGGTTTATTTGTATAGCACAATTTAGTACACAGACAATTCAAAGTGCTTTACATGAATGACAATTTGAAACAGAAGGAAATGAAAAGCAGAATAACATCAAGTGAAGATAAAAACAGGCAATAAAGCAAATAAAACAGCTGTAGCACAAAATTAAGCTAATGATGCCTCAGTGAAAAGTTTAATTTTAACTGTCAAAAGCAGTTCTAAACAGATGGGTTTTAAGATTTGACTTTAAAGAACTCAGGCTTTCAGCACATTCACAGTCTCCTGGGAGTTTCTTCCAGAAAAGTGGAGCATAGGAACTAGTTTGTAATCATGTTAGATCTAGTATTTCAATCTTTAGGTTTAGAAGACCACAGTTATAATTTCAGGCTTCTAAATAGTTTGTGCAGGAATGTTTTATCACACATGACTTGTTGTCTTACAAATTTACAAGCCAATAAAAAAATTGAAAGCATTAAAATCCATAGAATCATACAAAAAGACAAAAAAACAAAACAAAAAAACATTCAGATATCATCTTTGTATGTTTTATATAAAGATGGGTTCTTAGGACAATTAGGTTAAATTCTTAGATCTGTCTTCTTAATAAAATAATTGATGGGATACAAATTTATTGATCTCACAATTGGGAAATTCACTCTCTGCCAGCTTTCCCCCTTTGGGAGTGTTGGCCTATTGGCCTTCAGTTTTATCTCACCTGATCAGAGATCTTCATGTTTGCTTCAGGGCATCTTATGGCCGCCTTTCAACACTGCTTTACTTTGCAGCTCCTCTAGTCTCACCACGTTTCCCTTGGATGCTTCTGCATGCGACTAATGCCTTGTTGAGAGAGCAGCTGTGCCTCACCCTCCATGTTCTTATGACGGATTGAACAGAGCTCTGATGTGTTCAAAGCCTGGGATATTACTCTCTATCTTTCTGTAACTCTGAATTAAAATTCTCCACCTCTTCCTCTCTGACCTCTCTGTCTTCCTTAGTTTCCAACACGATGCTGTTTGTTCACTAATGTTCTCTAACAAACCTCTGAGACTTTTAATAGACTAGTTGGTCTTAGACTGAGATTAAATTAAATTTTATTTAGGAACATTAGAGAAAAAAACATGAAAGACATGAATCAATTTCCTTCCCTTAAGGGCTCAATGCTAGCTCATTTAAATCACTTTGTGGGTCATTTATGATAGTTTCTATTTGCAGGTAAAGCAGGAGAACTAGTGGATAGAGGGGACAACACATATGGAGGGAAGTTTGTGATCAACCCCAGCGGAGGTCTCATCTCTAAAGGACACCCTCTAGGAGCCACAGGTATGCAGAATGAGCTGGTTTTATCTCCATTTTACCCTGATTATTGTTTTCACTTGTTTTATTTCATAGTTTGGATTTGTTAAAGTAATAACAGACTAATGGTAACTGCCAAGAATTTTAGATTCTGATTTTTACTAAAATAAGTCTCCACAGTGGCCACTAGAGGGCATTGGTCTCTCAATGATGGATGTTCAGACTGGAACTGGGTTAAAGTGGTCTTTGTGGGGCATGTGAAAGGCAGCTGGCTAAGATCCTGGTATTCCTTTACTGTAATCTCTTCACATTTTAAAAACATAGAGAACGAGCAGACTGGGTCTCCCAGCTTCCTGCAGCGTCAGGATGCCGTAGGAGCTCACATCCAGGGGAACGTGGCCTGGAGATTCTCAACCGCAAACGATAAACACCACCTTGGATTTCTTATAGATGCTTTCACCTTTTCTTTTCCTTTTTAAATTAAATCTTTGTCATATTTATCGTCTGACATTATGTATTTAAACCTGATTCCTTTTCTTTTTTTCTGCTGTCCTTTAAATAATTGATTTTCATCCATGCTTCTCTCCACAAAAAGCATTTATCATACAAACTGAAAGGTCTGTGGAGAAAATCCACCCCCAGGAAGCATTTTTTAAGCTATTCCCATGACGTCTTGGATACAAGGTTGTCACTGGTTAATAACTAGATGTCTTTTTGATGAACTACCCAAAGCGTTCGGCTATAAATCACAAGGAGAGGCTTAGGAGGCCTCTGATCAGACACTGAATTCAGGTGAATCTGTTTGGAGTAAGTCGGCTATGTCCAAAATTTCAATTTTAGTGAAACATTTGAATATTTATGTTCCTGGGTTCAATAATCTGTTAATTGATTTATATCTCATAAGAGTGAATTATTTAAGGCCTTTATTTTGTGTGTTTTTCTTTTCTTTTTTTTTTTTTATATAATTGCTTTAGACAATAATAAAACAAGTTATAATAGTGCATCAGAAGAATGAAAATATTATTTTCAACACAAACGTCAGGTTCTTTGCTAGTATGTTCATTTCAATGCACTGAATATTTGGTCTGGGCTCCCTTTGCATGAATTACTGTATCGGTGTGGTTTAACATGTAGGCAAACATCCTGTTGTTCTATTAAGGAGGAACGGAAACCCAGAATGAGGTTAAAGGTCATCTGTATTGTTGTTTCTGGTGTTTTTCTTCTAGCCTGACGTAGTCCGACTCAATTCTAGTCAGAATATGAGTCTGATACTGCTCCATAGAGCTGTGATTATGGGGCGTGTTTTGAACGAACAAGTAAAAAAAATGCCTCTGCACTCAATTGGATAGACCTACAACCAATAAGAGCAACGGAGTGCGTGACGTATGTTAA